CCGCTCGCTTTGCAGGGCACGGGACGCGGCAGGCAGATCCTGGTGCTGGGCCTGGATGGGGCCGGGAAGAGCAGCGTTCTCCACGCCCTGGCAACTAACCACGTCAAGCGCAGCGTGGCCCCCACCAAGGGCTTCAACGCCATCTGCGTCAACACCGAAGAGTCCCAGATGGAGTTCCTGGAGAGTGAGTGAGCCGGTTTTACTATGGGACAGAAGTTTCTGTCCTAGCGACCAGGCCCGTGCTTTAGAAGCTCCCCGTTCCCGCTCTGGTAGCAGGAAGTTGTGATGATTTTCTCCCTGGGGATTCTGCTTGCCCACCCCGCTTCTTGAAGGAGATGGTGAGCTGGTGTTGGAAGAGGTCTGTGTTGGTGCTGCCCTGTCCTCCAGAGACTTCTGCTCCCAGGGAGAAGGGTAACAGGCCTGGTTGCCTAAAGCCAGCCCCAGGCAGAGGTGTCCCCAGTAAGCCCTGTGTTGTGGTCTGTAGCTGTTGCATCTTGTCCAGCTGCTCCTCGGTGCTCATGCCTGGCAGAGGGCAAGAGCCAAAGAGGAATAAATAATAAGGTGAAGGAAGAGACTAGGGAGAGAAAAGCTCTGTACCCTTTTCCATTCAAAAGCTTCATAAGTGGTGTTTTCTAGTCTTTAACAGCTTCTGAATGACTGTAGGTTTTTGCTAAACTTGCTGTGTTGTCCTTAGCGCTGATTTTGGGGTATTGTCCATGCCTGCAGAGAGCATCTCCTGTGGTGCTTCTGGGGTGTCACAGCTGTTGTAGGTGCAGCTAGCTGATGGGGAAGGTAGAGGCCCTGGAGTGAGGCCAGTCCCTGGTAGGGAGAGGCTGATCTAGCATTCTGTGGAGGCAGAGGCTGCCCTTTGCATCCCGCTGTTTCTGCACTGTGCTCTACCAGTGCTCCACTGGCTCAGTTGACAGCTAGCCCCTGGACACCTCTGTACCTTTGTCAGCAGGCCTAAGGAGCTGTGCTGTTCCAGGGAAGTTTTTAGTATGTGAGGATGAGGCTGCTAAGGCAGTTTCATTCCCAGTTCTACTACCGTGGGAGTCTGCAGTGCCTTAGGGAAATCATCTCTCCGGAGATGCTTGTAGTCTGTGCCCCTCCTCCTAGTAGGAATGAGACATCCGTGTCTCCCACTGGGTGGTGCTTTGTGTGGCTGAGCCTGGAAAAACCTGCAATGTCTCCGGCATGGGGGCGGCCCGGGCCCAGCGCTGTGTGCCCCACAGCAGAACCTGTTGTTTCTGAGTGTCCTTCCCTCTCTGGTCCAGGTTGGTAGTGACCGAGATGCGATGGCTGCGATCTGACCCATAGGAAATGAAATGTCTCAGGCCAGTTTCAGCCAGGTAAATCTGTGCATGGCTCTCTAATCTGGTTACTTTTCCAGCCTGTACCATCGCCTAGCCCAGGGGTTACCAGCCTGTGCCGGGATCATGTGGCACAAGGTAATCAGGAGGCAGCAGGGATTTTATTTTTCTGCCCTAGACAGATAGAAAACTGTTCTCTTTTTCTTTGTACCATCACATAGGTAAGTGGGTGGTATCTTGCCTCTGCAAGGGATAGGAGCTCCAGAGTTCCTACCAGTTTGGGAAAAATGAAGTTCTCTGTGAGGTTGCAGACCCCTGGGTTATGCTGTGCATGAATGCCCTTACCACGAGGAGTGGTGCTGAGCCCCACAGTGTCACAGGCACAGTACAGAACCAGAGACACACGGCCTTCACGCAGTACAGAATCGGAGGCATCTGTCCTGGGCGTGATGTCACAGCCCTCTGGCTCCTTTCCGCAGTGCTGGAGACTTGCAGTGCTGCCTGCATATACACCGGGGTTCTTGAAGAAGAGGCAGGCACACCCGAGCAGGAAGTGTTTCTTTCCCTTCCAAGTTCTTCAAACTACTGAATCATTTTGACTTAAGTGAGATCAAAATTGCCTTGAAACAGAGCACAGTCACTGAGGACAGTAAAAGATGGCTGACTGGCAAGTTGGTTTTGAAAAGAGCTCCGGTGTAAGGCAGGAGACAATTATAGGGAACCCCAAATGTATTGCTTTGAAAACTTCCTACTTCTGGGAGACTCATCCATGCCTTTTGGGCACCTCGGCACTCTGGAGCCAGTGGTTCTGCAGTGTACCTGGGAAAAGACCTGGAGAGCTCAAAACACATCTGAAATACTTAATATGCTGTTAGCTATTCCTGCTCCTTTTAAACTCAGCAAACTACTAAACTCTTTTTGTCCCTGGATGGCAACAACAATTTTGAGCATCTTGCTGCATATAGTTGTACCACAGAATTTTTATAAGGCCTGTTTTGAAGGTGGGCAGTTTTCCTCTGTATCCGGCAGGGAAAAGCTCAGGTAGAAACATATCCTGGGGAAAGATTTCCCCCAAGGATTGCTTGAAGAGTCTGCTGGGGCTTGATTTTTCTCTCTTCCTAAGCACCTCTGGTTATTGGCAGTCTGAAAGCTGTGGGAGTTTTGAACAAGTCGCTAGTGTCATGCAAATCTGATGAGAGCCCTCCCCACCTCAGAGCTAAATTTCTTCTGTGGAAGTTGGAGGCCTGCTTTGTCTTGAGACGCGCATGTGGAGATAGGGTATATGGGGACATTCTCTCATGGTGCTTGTGGGCACTGAACCTCTTTCTACTCTTCCTACTTGCTTGAAGCAAGAACCAACAAGGCAGAAAGCAACCATAAAGAAACTGAACCCGGAATCCTCTCAAAACAAGAGCTTAAAATGGAAAGTTTGTTCCCCTGTGCCTGCCCCACCCCCTGATTGTAAACATACGCCTGCATGGGACTTGGCTGGAGAAAATAAAACTATTTCCAGTCGCATATACAGTAGCCCAAACTGAGTTTTTCACAACCCAGATACCTTGGGTTTTCAGCCCAGGGCCTGCCGTCTGCACCTCTGGGAGCGGTGCTGCTTGGATGACTTGGTGAATCCCGTGCTGCTGTCTTCTCTTCCAGTCGGGGGCAGTGAATCTCTGCGATCCTACTGGAAGATGTACTTGCCCAAAGTGCTGTTGCTGATCTACGTGGTGGACTCCGCCGATCATGCCCGACTGCCTCTGGCGAAACAGCTGCTTCATCAACTGATCCAGAACAACTCCACCCTGCCGGTGGTGGTTCTGGCCAACAAGCAGGTAAGAGTTCCCAGCTGCTGGCTGAGCATGGGCTGGCAGCAGCTCAGGAAACAGCCACAGAGCCTTTCAGAGGAGTCTTCGTGCCTTTAAGGGGGCCGCAGGGCTGGGAGGGAGCTGGGGGTCTTTCTGGGGCACCCATTGACCGCAGAAGAAAATAATCTGAGGTTGAGTTTTGGATCTGCAAGATGCAGATCCTGCGCTCGGAGGTGGTGCAGTCAGAGCTGTGAGGGGAAATACTGGTGGAAACTGCTGTGTCGTTGCAAGGTTTGGGAACTGCAAGTTAAACCAGGAGTTAGGTTTCTGTTCTGAATGTGTGTCTGAAGTACCACTCACCTAGCAGCAGCCGAACAGTGAAGCACCGCTGTTTGCCTTCAGGTTGTCCGGCTGGTTGCCCCTGAGGCTGCAGCTGAAGCATGAGGGGAGAGCAGGTTTCCTCACAAGGCAGTGCTTTCTTCAAAGATCTGTGTGAAAGCATCAGTCACTGGTGCCGTACCTGGAACAGAATTGTGCCCGTGGCACGGTCTTATGACAGAACAGCCTAGGGTTTTTAAGCCCGGATTTTCTTTTATGAGGACCGTGTGCTCAGTTTGCTCTATGTTGTTACCTCCTAAATTTCTAGTAACCTAGGCATGTTACTAGTGGTCCTTTGCATTACTCCTGAATGCCAGCTCAGACTTTGGCTTCAAACACAAATGCTGCTACCGATTCCCTAGGCCCAGGAGCCAGAAATGCTGGTGGCTGAGGAGGTACACAGGGAATGGCTGTCGTACGTTTGCCCTGTTCCTGTAGCTGTGCTGGGCACCTGGGGTCTTGAGCCAGCAAGACTTTGTCTGCCTTGTACAGCTAGTGAAACATTATTATCAGAAACTCCGGAATTATTAGCAACAGAACTGTACCCTTATTTCTTTGGGAAGAAACTAAGTTAAGGATAAAAACATTTCTTTTCCCCCAAAGCATTTTAGGGCATGGGAACTTGATCTCGTAGAAGGTACGTAAGAATGGTGCCCCCAGAGGCTTTGAGACCCTTCCCCTTCCTGGACAAAGGCAGTGGCGCAGAGCAGGAACGGTGCCACCGCCTCGTGCAACTAACGGGCTTGTTTTGTTTTTGCATGTCAGGACCTCGAAGGTGCATATGGCATCACCGACATCCATGATGCTCTAGCACTGTCTGATATTGGGGACGAGAGGAAGATGTTCTTGATCGGTACCCACGTGGCAGAGGATGGCTCCGAGATCTCCTCCAGCATGAAGGATGCCAAGGAGCTGATAGCACAGCTGGTTTTGGAAGCGCAGTGATAGCTCTTTTCCTGCAACGTGCTATTGGCAGCTGAGGGAGACGAGGTGTTAGTGTATGGTCAGGTGGCCTGTGGTGACTGAAATATACAGGTATCTTTTCCCCGTGGGTATGTAATTCCTATGAAAATGATGTCTAGTTGGTAAGAAAATCTAATTTATAGTGGTTTGAAAAGTAGGGTATTTTTTAGCATATCTGTAGAGGAAAATTAGTCTCTCAGAGAGCATAGTTAAGGGCATGTATAGCTTAGATGGGCTGAGATGGCTTCTTGCCAGGTGGGAATCAAGCATTGACTTCAGTGGAACAAAGGTGTATCCAGTGAATTTAACCTGGCTTGATGTCTCAGACTTAAATTGAAATCTGTTCCCTTCACAGGTTTTGCAGAACCCTGTTAACAGTGTTGGTCTGTTCAAAATGAGACCTCACTTCCTGAGAGTGTCAGGAATTCAAAGTGGTGCGACTAGTGGTTTTGGCAGTGACTGTTTTTGTTGTCGCTGTATTGGAGCCATTTTTTTTAAGGGAGTGGCAAATTAGTAATCTCTGGAAATTGGCTTGGTTACTGCCTCTGTAGTGGATAAGAAAACAAAAGTGGTAAGAGATTGTTTCTTTGCCTACAGGGGAAAAACAGAACAGTGTAATTTTGCATAGTGACTGAAACCATATAATCAGCACCAAAGGTGGGAGACTCCTCCGTTGGGCTGAGCGACTTATTTTGGTTTAGTCTGGGTCGTCCTTGAGCAAGCACTCTTCCGTGTGAAAAACTTGTTTTTTGAAAGTGATTTCTGTTAGCCCTGCATATGAGGAAGATGAGTTGCTGGCAAGTGTCACTCTCTCCCAGTGTCCTCGTAATTACACTCCAAGAACATGATCCAGGATCTGGGCAGTTCCATAAAGGACCTGTTTTGCAACTGCATTTATTGCATGAGGGTGTCGTGGTTTTGTCCTGTGGAGCGGATGCATAAAGCTGACAGTTTTACCCTAACCAGTGGTCCGGCCGTCATTTACCCAAACAGGGGGTGCTGCCCGCGACCCTTGAGAGCTGCCTTTAAAGCTGGCCTTTCCACCCACCTGCCAAGGCTGCTGCCCAGCCGGCCCACCTCTGCAGAGGCCCTGCACTCACTCCCCTGCCCACCGGGCTTGGGCTTCCGCTGGCAGCCAGGTTTCTGCCTGCTGGAGAAGCAGATGCCACCGGAGCAGTTCCCTGTGGTGAGGAGTGTGGTGAGTGGTGGAGGCTCCCGATCACGGCACAGCTGGCGGGCCCCAGCAGGTCCCTCACATCACAGCTCCCAGCATCTGCCGGGTGAAGCGATGGCAGCTGGTTGTGCGTCTGCCACCACTGTCGAGGCACGTGGCTCCCTGAAATCGCCCCTGGTTTCCCCACGGTGCCGGTGTTGCCGTGTCTCTGGCTTTCCTGTCCTTCCCCTTTAAAACACGGCAGCTTGTTTTGTCCTGCTGCAGTGTCCCCGTTTAATACAGCCATGGCTCCCTGGGGCTGTCAGAACGTCCCCCTGCAGCAATTGAAGGATAACAAGGGGTGGCTGCACCCAGCTGGGTGGGAGCCCGCAGGTCAGCAAGTGGCCAGTGGTGCTCATCCCAGGAGGAGGATGCTGGTGAGGGGATGTGGTGCTGGGGGGGCTCCATCCTGCAGCCTCGGGGGCTGCCAGCACTCCACAGCAAGGAGCAGCCACTGGAGGGGAGCACTTCACATGCAGGTGCATTGCTAAGGCACCGGGCAAAACCAAGACAAATAACTGCCAAGCGGTTGTATCCTAAGGAGATGCACGAGCTTCAGCTGCCTTGTGGCTAACTCACCATGAGGAGCAGGCAGCCTGGGCTGCAGGTGTTACCAAGCTTTTAAGTTCACCCCTTCTTGTCTTTGCAGGTTCAAGGCCAGGCTGGATGAGGCTTTGAGCAACCTGGTCTAGTGGAAGGTGTCCCTGCCCATGGCAGGGGGGTTGGAACTGGATGGTCTTTAAGGTCCTTTCCAACCCTAACCATTCTGTGATTCTATGATTATTGTTATCTGTCCTGGTACCTGTCCACACGCTCACGCGACAGGTAGGAAACCCTCCCGGCTCCAGCCTCCCAGCTGGGTGTCCAGGCCATGACCCAGGTCTCTTGGGGAAGGCTCAGTCGGGGATTTATGCCAAGCAGCAAGTCGATGTATGGGATGACACTGTGGTAAACACACGGAGGAAATGATGCCTGCTTTCGCCCTTCCCCCTGCTTCTCATGACAAACAGTGGCTGACGGTCCTGCCCCTTCAGAATGGAAGCTGTGACCCTTTGCTTTGCAAGGAATTGATCTTGGGGGGGGTTGATTCCCCCTTAAGTGAGTTGAGGAACCTGGTTGGGATGTACGTGTGACTCGTCCCTTGGCTGAGCGATGATGCAAGGTTGGCACAGCAGTGTCCACGCCAGCGGAGTGGGGCACGGAAGCCATACGGGCTTTGTGCTAGGTTTGGCTGTGGCTGTGGAGGATCAGCGTTGAGCCTGCCTGCAAAGATAGCACCAGCTCTGCAATGCAGCTCGCCTGGGGGGACACCTCTGCGTGGTTATCCTTCACCCCCTTGCAAGGAAGAGGCTCTGGGGAGCCGCTTGGGAATGAACGGCTGAAACTGGGTTTTGGCTCCTGAACTGATGGCTGCCTTCCAGAGCATGTCCCATCTTGAACTGGTGGCAGGGGGCCAAAGTCCCAGGGGTGGTTCCTTCAGTGGGATGTCAGTGGGAGCCGTGTTTGCAGTATTGTGACCAGTGGTTTGGCATGACGAGGAGATAAATCCGCAGGTGCCTCACTTGGAGTGTGTGACGAGGATGCTCCAGCGGCAGCCTGCTGCTGCAGAGGTCTCTGTGATGCTGAGCTCCCTGGCAGCGTTTGCTGGGGCTCAGCATCTTGCTAGAGGTATCGGCCCCATCAGAGAAACCACAGGTGTGTCCCCAAAGCACAGGCCACTTTCTGTCAACAAACACCTCTCCCTGTTGGTGTCCCCGCTCTTCTCCGGGGCTACACTGCCTTGTTGCTGGGTGTAACAGGGAAGCAACACCCCAGGCTTTCACCTCCTGTGCTTCTTCCACGGTGGGCACTTCCATAGGTGCCCGCATCGTGTGGCTGTGCCCCAGCTGGCTGGGCAGGCACCGGCAGCCCCAGAGGGTGGGCATGGGCTTGCTTCCTGGCACCAGGGAGTTCTGCCACGTGCTTGTGGCACTGGTGTCATCTCGTCCTCTTTATGCTGAGGCTCACGAAGCACAGGTACTTCCCAGCCACTGGGATTTCAGGACTGGGACACTTGATCAGCAGGAGTGGACAGTGATATCCGATCTTCCTGAAAGGGTTTGGTCTGATGAATATTCAGTAAAAAGCATTTTCAGTGCTGCGCCCAGGGCACAGACTCTGCATGTTCCTGTGTTTCTGTAGTGTCTAAGACCTCTGTGCTAATCAGACGGAAATAAAATGGTAAATAAAACCCTATGTCTTCACCTGTGCTCCTAAAGCTGTGTGGGAACAGTGCTGTCTCCATGGTGCCTTCTACTGAACCCCAAGAGCATTTATAACAGATGTTTCTGTTCCCCTGGACTCCAGTCATCCATCATCCATCTCCTACCTGCTGGCGTTGCGTGGCGTGTCATTCACCAGAAAAGTACCTTCCCCCTCTCTGCCGTGTCCCAAAGGGACCTTGCAGTGAGGGCAAAATTGCAGATTCCTGTCTCTGCAGTCCAAGAGAGAGCACAAAAATCCATGGGCTGCTGGGGCTGGTGCATCCACCAAATTGAACGATGGAAAGAGAGATCCCTTAACTCACCCTCAAAAGGGATGGAGGCAAAGGCACAGGGGTTCAGGAGTGTGTTAGGGCCTTGAGTTCAGCAGTAGCTTCTCTACGCTTTGTTGGCTTAACTGTATGCTTAATGGCACATTTGTCCTTTTCTGCAGTTTTGAAAGTGTACAAAAACTTGCAGAATCCAGGAAAGTGGTTTGTGCAGAGGATCCCATGTTCCAGGGCCACGGACTAATGGTGCTTCAGCTGGTGCAGACCCTTTGCATTTGTCTTGTTACTGCTTTCCTCTCAAGGGCAGAAGTGGCTCCAAAAAACCCAGACTGAGATGTTCAGTGCGTGAGGGGCTCTTCAGTTTGTTTTTTCTCGTTGTCAGTCTAAAAACTGAGCTTGGCCCGAGTCACGCCTTTGCTGCCACGTCTGAGCTGCCCCACTGAGATGGCGTGGGATGGGATGGTGCTGTGGTGCAGGGGGACCGACCCCATTGGAGCCACAGGCTGGTGTAGTCTGGAGGACACAATCAAGCTTTAGGAACAGAGCTGCTCTCTGCATTCCAGGACTCAGCTATGGCTTGCCAAGCCAGGGCAAGAGTTTGAACAGCGACTCCTCTCCACTGGATGGGTGTCACTGTGCTTGAGAAAGGCTCCACAGACTCATCACCATGCTGTTCCCTGTCTTGACTGCCCTGGTACCCTCTCCCACCATGGCCTCTCTCTTAGCTGGGGATGAGCAACTCCAAATTTGCCCTGAGCACAGGAGAGTAACCATTAATGTGCTTCAAAACCTCACCCACTTTCCATGGCACACCCTGACCGTAACGTTATTACTATTTTTACTGTCATACCTGTGGTGTAGTTGGGTGGTAATAGTGAGGCAAGAAAAATGCAATCATGAAACTCCCCCAGGGGTTTCAGAGATGCAACGGAACGACCCTTTCTGCACATCTGCGGGTAACTGTAAAAACAGACTCATCACTTGAAGGCTCATTTCTCTTTGAGTTGACAGCAACCGCCGGGACAGCATTAGGAAATTCGGTGCCAGAGAAGGTGGGTGCTCAAGGGATGGCAGCGGCACTGTACAGTTGTGGGGAGCTGTAGGGACTGTGTGTGTCCCATCCTAGGCGGGGAAGGGTGGCCTCAGCAAGCACGTTTCACACTTGTGCATCTTTATAAAATTTCATACCTTTGCTGTTCTTGCCAGGCCCCTGCAGGGAAACTAGGGAGACAATCTAGACCCTCTTGCGGGGTGCTGTGACAGCTCGGCCATCCCCAAGAACAGTGGCACTGGCCAAGCCCAAGCGGGATTTTGGCAAGCAGCAGTGCAGGTCAGTGATGTGGCAGCGCATTCTGGGAAAGGAGGCAGCTCAGATGGTGCTCTCTGATCAGGGCGGCGTGCTGGCTCCCAGGGGAAGGGTAGATGCCATCTCCTCTCTTATCACCCCTGCCACACTGGGAGCTCCATGCCACTGAGACTCACCAGGCTGTACTGATGTTTGGAGCAGAGGCTGTCTGTAGCAGGGAAGAAAGTGGTATGGAGCATAGTCACCCTGAGTGCTTGGCTTCCAAAATGAGGAGGAACTAGGGAGTGCTGTTTTGGTGCCCTTTTATTTCTTCATACCCGCCTGCAACATGTGGGGGGTTGCTGGACTGATGAGAGCTCTGGGTTTGGATCAGCCTTGACCTCAGTCTCCGAGCACATGGGAGCATGTTCCTCCGCTGTCACTCCCTGGTGACCATGTCAAGCAGTCCATCTTTGGGAATAGGAGTGAAAAATGATGTAAAAAATGTAAACTTCAGTGGGGCCGGGTGATGTTGCATTACTTGAAGCAACTGATCTGTAGCCGTGTTGGAGGGCATGAAGCTCTCTTGGAGACAGGATGGTGGTTGCTAGTCTGTGAGAAGTCCTAGCAATGAGAATGGAGATGAAATTGTGTGGCACTCTGGGCTTTCCTCTACCTAGAGGGATGTCAAGACACACGTGTCTATAATTTTCTCTGCCACTGTCATAAGCTCAGGGACCCTCACCCACCTGAGAGCTTCTGCCTGGGACTAATGGTGTCAGACAGCCCTTCCTGCTCACCTCTTCCCTGGTGACGACCGGCATCTGCCAGTGGCTGTGGCTGATGGAAAGCTGGGTGAGCATGCACTAGGTGAGCCTGGGGAGATGCCAAGATGAAAGGAGCAGCAAGAGTGCAAGGTGCTGTTAAGCCCTTGCAAGAAAGAGGTTTCTGAACAGGCAGAGCTGTGAGCAGAGATGGTGCCAGGTTTGTGTTGTGAAGTGGCTTCTTGAACTGGTCCAGAGAAAGGCCTAGGCTTTGAAAGCCATGCACTGAGGGTGATTAAAAGAGGGACTCTGCATATGCAAACAGCATTTAAAGTCAGGAAATTTCAAGTGCAAATGCCCATTTGTTCATGGCTTTTCCATGTGCACCAGTGCCAACTTTTGTACGTGCAGCAAGCATGGATGCTTAACCAGACTTAGGATACTGTCTGCCAGGATCGTGTTCCACGTCACTCACATTTTACAGAGTCTTCTGTGCTGTTCCTCAAGAACTTTCTTCTTGTACAGCCGCAGACGGGAATCAGCCATCTAGGAATGTCACCTGCTGGTGGATTTTAGTTTCTCTTCTGATTGGCTGCTAAGTTGTCTGAACCTAAAAAGTACCAGGCTGCTTGCCTGCTCTGCAGCTAAGGTGAGAGGCCAGAAAGCCTGCAGGGTGCTACAGGTAGGCCCTTGGGTCTTGTAGCATCAGTGCAGCCTCGAAGTAATAAATACAGGAACAGAGGATGGGCAAAATGTAGAGCAGGGACTGCTGGGATTTGACCTCTGGACTCTCTGATATGGTTTAACTCCAGCTAGCAAAATCCCACGAAGCCGCTCTCACAAATCCCCTCCTCTCCTCCAGTGGAGGGGATGAATTGGAGGAAAAAGAAATAAGGAAGCTCGTAAAGTTGAGATAAGAACTATTTACTAATTAAATCTAAATTAGTATATACAAATACTACTACTACTAAATAATTTAAATAACAGGAAATAAAACATAGAATACAATATGATAAAATGATACACTTTCTCACCACCCACTGACCAATGCACAGCTGGGTGCTGAGTAGTGGGAGTCAGACCCAGAGAGCCCGAGAGCCGCAGCCCGAGAGCGATCGCAGCCCGAGGGCCGCAGCCTGAGAGCCGCAGCCCGAGGGCTGCCGCAGCAGATTCCAAGCGAACCCTCTCAGCGATAGCATGAGCGGGAAAACTAAACCAACCCAACAACTCCCTCCTGAACGAGCCAGCACAGGAGTTAGTGAAGCAGCTAACGCAGGAGTCAGGGAGAGGGTCAGCAAGTGTACGGGAGTGAACGGGAGAGAGTCAGGGAGAGAGCAATGGCTCCCGGACCCCCTCCTCGCCTCTGCCCTGAGCACGACGTACTATGGGATGAAATACTCCCTTGGTCAGTTGGGGTCAGGTGCCTGAACTGTGTGTCCCCTGCGCTGCCTGTAGCGAGACCGCGAGAGCTGGGAACGCAGCTGCGGTATCAGAAGCAGAGAAAGACCTTGAATTCAGTGCAGGCATTCCCCAGCATCAGCTGAGAACTTACCAGTGCTGCTCTCTGCATCCAGGAACAGCTTCAGAGCAGCCACGGTAAAGAGAGGTAACTCTTTCCTGACTGAACCCAGCACACTCTCATGGGATGAGAGGGTTCCACACTGGAAGTGGCCACAAGACAAAGCTGCCCAAGTCCTAAACATCCCAGCTGCAGCCTGATTTAAACCAGTGTGGGGGATACCTGTGAGCGGTGGTGCCGTGACTCTGCTCCCAGACCTCACCAGCCCCTTGAGTGGCCTGTGCCACCAGCTGCACTGGTCTATAACGCCTCCCCGCAGAGCTGGGAGCTTGCATGGCCAAAGGTGCTGCGTCCAGAGTTCCCAGTGGCCAGAGAGGTGAGCAGGGGGTTGAGTGAGGTTTGGAGGGGACAGTGGTGCAGCAAACTGTCCTGAGTGTTTACACACTGTATTCTGCCCCTGGATATGCCCAGTGTGTGCTACCGAGGGGAAGAGCTGTCCGGTTCTACTGGGGTTTGAGATACTGAGAGAAACTGCCTTTTTGGAGTGAGATGCTGTCTGAAAATATTGCTGCTGAGAGACAGAAAACAGCCAGGCTGGAGCAGCCTGGAATAGCAGGAGAACCAAGGGAGGCATGTGTTGCATCCCCTGATAAAGCAGCCTGGGAAAGTGGAGAAACCTGATGGGAACAGACTGTTTAGCTCCTAGGGATTACAGTCATGTTTGTAGCTGGGCAGCTGTGCTCCTATCTGTGTATATAGGGGGGATGAGCTGGCAAACAAATACTATGTATATTTTACCAGAAGCCTAATTTAGAGACGTGTTTCTGAACTTGCTCCTTTCGGGCAGGTCATTGCTTTGGCAGGGGTGAAAGGACTTGGGGCAATCTCAGATTACAGTCATTGCCATGGAAAAGGCTAAGTTTTCTGGCTGCAATTTCTGTGCTGGGAAATAAGGGAGGCTGTGCTGGAGCAGGCCTTGGCACCAGTAACCCTGTGAAAAGCAGAGGAAGAAGTCCGATGCTGGAGCAGTAATCACTTTTGCTGTAGGAATGCAGTTAACTGCACCAGCACATTTACCCTGAAATCTGAGTGTCTGTCCATAGCAAGGAAATTATTTGATGCAGCCAGGAAGATAGATCTGAAAAACATTTCCCTATGCTGGAAGAAATTTCTTGACACTTTGACCTGGCTACCCAGGCTGTCATTGCCAGCATTCCTCTCCTGGCTATGAGTGGGTGACAGCTGGGGAAAGAAGTTGTATTGGCTAAGACATACAAATACCAGTAGGGACAAAATTACCTCGTAGTTCAGGTAAAAGAAAAGTAACAGGTGCTGGGAAAGCAAGAGTGCTCCTTCTTGAGCCCATATCTGCAGAGAAGGGATGTTCATCCCTTTAGAGAGGGAACGTGTCCCTGTGGACGAGCTCTGTGTCTGCACATCCCTCCCCCATTCTGAACCCACGTAGGACCAGAGCATCTCCGCAGTTAGAGTGTCTCGCAGAGCCCGAGGTCAGGAAGGTGACCTGCTGCTATGAGCACAGCTTTCCTGGATCTGTCACCCTCCAGGAAGGCAGTGTCACCCAGGACATGCATGGCAGGGATGCCGGGCAGAGGAGAGGGCGCTGGGTGCCCAGTCACTGTCTGTGAGGCTGACGTCACTGCTTCCTGAGCTGGAGAGCTCATCCAGAGCGTGAGCTGGCTCCCAGCAGACACCCCCAGAGAAGGACAGACTGGTGCCTAGCCTACAGTTGGGGTGAGGAGAGATGGGTAGGGGTCTAACCGGGATCTCTGGAGCTGTGACTAACACGAGTGTCCTGGGGCCAGCAGGGAGGCATGACTGCTGTTGTCCTCTCTCAACAGGGAGGAGCAGGGCTCAGGTGGAGGTGTATCAGCTGGCAGGCAGCGTTGGGAGCTGGCCCTGCTCCAGTTGGAACTGACTGGCTCCGTCCTCACTCCTACAGGGCTCCTTTGGGCTCGCCTCTGTTGAGCCCAGATGCGTTCGCAGTGAAGGAGACTCCCAGAAAGGCCACTTGTTCTGCTCGGATCCCACACTTGGCTCATCCGAGGAAGCACTGAGCTCCCGCAGAAACACAGCCAGCTGCTTGTGCTGGTAGCCCCCATCACCCCGTGGGACATCACCCTCTTCAGGTTGTGCTGTGGCTGGAAAACCTGCTTGAACACGGCACTGGAGCAGCACCCAGCAGGAACATTTTCTTAGGAGCAGCCACTTTTACTGGGTTTATCTGAGGAGTTAAATAGGATGGCCATTCCCTAAGAACAAAACAGTCGTCAGGGGAAATGAGCAGAATTTGGCCTAATGTGGGAAACATCCCTCCCTAGGATGGGTTATGCCTCGACCTTATCACTCTTCTTATAGAATCATAGAATCACAGAATGGTTTGGGTTAGAAGGGACCTTAAAGACCATCTAGTTCCAACCCCCCTGCCATGGGCAGGGACAACCTCCACTAGACCAGGTTGCTCAAAGCCTCCTCCAGCCTGGCCTTGAACACTTCCAGGGATGGGGCATCCACAGCTTCTCTGGGCAACCTGTTCCAGTGCCTCACCACCCTCTCTGTGCAGAACTTCTTCCTGATATCTAATCTAAACCTCCGCTCTGTCAATTTAAACCTGTTGCCTCTTGTCCTGTCACTACAGGCCCTTGTAAAAAGCCACTACAGGCCCCTGCTTCCTTGTAGGCCCCTTCAGGTACTGGAAGGGGCAATAAGGTCTCCCTGGAGCCTTCTCTTCTCCAGGCTGAACCAGCCCAACTCTCTCAGCCTGTCCCCATAGCAGAGGTGCTCCAGCCCTCTGAGCATCTTCGTGGCCTCCTCTGGACACGCTCCAACCAGTCTATGTCCTTCTGATGTCAAGGGTTCCACAGCTGGACGCAGCACTCCAGGTGGGGTCTCACAAGAGCAGAGTACAGGGGGAGAATCTTCTTACTTCTTTGCTGTAGTAGTTGAAGGAGTAACAAAACAACTGCTGGGGGAAGCCAGCACTGGAACTGAACTGCTCTTTCACGGAAGGAAGGGTGTGAAACCACAGCCAACGGCTGTTGGTGCAACATGGCTCCTGGCCTCGGGTTGCAAAATTTTGGCTAAAGTTTAGAGATCTTCAGGGTGACACTCAAAGTTTTGTGCTTGTCACAGAAGTAGGAACACAATGAGATGCCGCGGGTGGCATCTCCATTGAGTTGGCTTGGATTTGGGGCCTGGTTTTCTCAAATGCCTGGAGAATGGTCAGATACAGCCTTTTGCTTTGTGTGCATCTGTGCGGTTTAGATACTCAGTTCTGTGACCCTGCGCAATATAATGGAGTTCTGCATTGGGATTTTTGGAGCCTACCTCAAAAAAGCTGAGTTCCCCTCAGTGTAAGGGAGAGGGCGTGTGGTGAAGGCTAAGACAGATATCAGTTCCAAGGTCTGCAGAACTAACTCTGAGCTCCAGTCGGGTCTGAGGGTGAGTCAGTTTGGCATCTGGATTGCAGGGAAACAACCCATCCTGTGTAGGACATGGCACAGGGACACTGCTTTTACCTGGTTCATATGAGCTTGGTGTGCTTTGCACCAGCAACCCAACCGCTGGTGATGGGCTGGAGATACTGAGGCAAGAGAGATGCTCTCCATCAAGGAACAAAAGCCACAATGACCTGCATGCAGCAGTTTTGATGCCCATGTATCTTAAGCTTCCCTGTGTTAAGCTAATTCTCCCTCCAAGGGAGTAGAGAGATAGGTGACCACAAGCCAGAAGAGGATTAATCACAGTATCCACTAATTGATTCCATAGTCCACTGAGCAGAGGATTTTTGAACCCTTTTGAACATGGTGAGGTCACTGGGCAATGGTGCTGGTTATTTTTTATTGTCCTGTACCAGGATGGATGAGAGTTTGGGCATTGTGCAAGAGCCCCAGCACAGCTGCGTCCTTCAGGCAGTGCTGGCCAGTGGGAGACTGGGATGTGACACCCCCCCCCCCAGAACCCTGCAGGAAACCCCAGCACCCCAGCTTCTGGCACCTCAGGGCTTGGAGTGTGCGTGAGGCTGCAGGGGCTGCCAGGGACGGACCTGTGGGTGCCCTAGAAGAGGAGGTTGTCCATGTCTGCAGGCTATCCTGTGGCAAGAGGGAAAACCCATGGCGCTCACTGAGGCTGCCTTGGAGAAGGCTGGATGAAGCTTTGAGCAACCTGGTCTGGTGGAAGGTGTCCCTGCCCATGGCAGGGGGGTTGGAACTAGATGGTCTTTAAGGTGTCTTCCAGCCCAAACCATTACATGACTCTAAGTGTTGCCCTCCCAGAGGAAGCAGTCTGCAAGCAGGGACATAACACAGCTCCTCTCATAAAAAAAAAAATTGTTTTTTGTGTTTGTGTTTTTTTTTTTTTAATTAATTAATGCATTGGAGGGAATAAAAAAGACCAGTTCTTTCCCTCTGGTGACCTTTAACAGAAACGTGAGAAATGCATTCTGGAGGGACTTGGCTTGGTCTGACTATGTTGCCAATGTCCAGAGCTGACTCACGCATCTTGAGCTAACCCAGATCACCTGCACAACACGTCTGGTTTTCCAGCTGCCCTCCTCTCTGGATGATCTGTATATGAAAGCTAGCACACATGCTTTGCTTCTGGGGATCATAAGGAAAAGAAATCTTCCACACACACACACACACCCCTTCTATGTTTGAACACTTCATGGCAGCTTTTCTGCGAGCCTGGGACAAGGGTATGAAATTGCCTTGCCCTTTGCATCTGTTATTGATGGACGGGAATCACTAGAGAGGTTATGCAGCCATCAGAAGCAATATAAGCA